TTAAAAAGTGAGGGTGACACCTTAGCACTTTGAATTGCTACTTTTTTGGATAGCAATGGAACAAAATTAAATTCAAATTAAAAAAAAATTATGCCAGGCATAGTGGCCCGCATCTGTAATCCCAGAACTTGGGAAGCTAAGGCAGGCGGATTATTGTGAGTTTGAGACAAGCCTGAGCTACAAAGTGAGCTCAAGGCCAGCCTGAACTGCATAGCAAGACCCTGTCTCAAAAAGACACAAAAAATTTGTATCTCACAAGATGGCTATGACTCTGAAATTAATTAATGTAATTAATATTTTAATTGTAAAATCAATTTTAATGACTAAATAATAATTCCATGTTCTCTCCTAAGTCGTCTATTTTAGAAATATTTAGTGGCAAAACCTTAGGATTCTGCTCCGGAGCTCTGAGTTACAGTTTCTCAATGAGTATAAAATATTATCTTCTTGAAAAAGACAAAAGAGCCACTTGAAGATATAACTGTATCAGCCTACTCATTGGTCTTATTTATACATCCTTTCTTAGTGTAGGGAGGACAGAGAGACGAATTTGGCCTCCCAGGGCTCACAGCACAGGAAGAAACAGCCATTAAATAATTAATTACACATAATTCAGTAAAGAACACAAACCTTTAGGTCAACAAAAAATGAAATAACACTCTTGAAGAGACAAACAGCATGCTAAGTGTTTATGTGGAGAACACAGGAAGATGTGATTCATTCTGATGGGCTAAAATCAAGAACTTATGAATAGTATTCTAGGGAAGTTCACATATGTAAGTTTTGTTTTTTTGGGTTTTCTTATTTTAATTTTCTATTTTAAAGAGAAAAAAATTTCAAAACAAGATAACAATGATTATCTTAGAGAAACAATGGTTAATGTATTATGTTTTTATCTTTTTTATTTTTAAAATATATTTTTATTGACAAACAAATAGCAATGAGATAGTTTCACAACCGATTATTCATACATTTTCAATAATTAATACATTGCATATTGTTGTCTCAGTAGTTATTCATTGTACAAGATGCAGACCTGATATCCTGTCTCAAATACTATTAGAACAAACCTCTCTATTCAATGAGTTAAAAGAATGGAGCTGTAACTAGCATAGTAACTATCATAACTAGCATATGTAAGTTTTGATGGTACAAGTTACTGTAGTAGAGTGTTGTGAGGGTCAGCTGTGGCTTTGTGATTCTGATTTTGTCATTCCTTTCTGTTAGTCTTATTTTTCTTTACTAAGAAGACTCAGCTAAGCATAGTATATCTTTAAATAATCATTTAAGTATGTGTGGCTCAATGTAAATGCTCTGGACTTGGTATTTGAGATAAAGCTGGATTCAGGTGTAGATTTGTCACTGAGCATTTTGGGAAACTATTATCCATCCTTGGCTTATCTGTAAAACTTGGGATATATAATGAATAATCCATGAGGGTGACCCTGGGAGCTCCCATGCCTTGTGCATCTCTTGGGAGAAAAAAATGGGAAAGAGGAAGTTTTGCATAGAGAGGCATTTTCCCCTGGTAAGGTCCAGGAACTCGATTGCTCATGTTGAGAATGAAGATGTTGATCAGATTATTACCTTGCCGTTGGTGAACTGTGACAGTAAGTCTTTCCTAGCTCTAGTCGCAATAAACTGGCTGTGGACTCACATGACAAACACAAGTGCTGATGTCAGGGAATCCCAGTGTTTACTCTGCATAGTCCTTAATCCTTGGAAGCCACATGTTGTGATGGCCCGGGAAGACTGTGGAAGGGAAAGGTTTTCTAGACAGGAGCATCACAAAGTCTGTCTTTTCTCTTACTATTATTTTCTGATCTAAAGGCTTATGTTTCCTTGGGTCTAAATTTGCTTAAAATTCTGTATTTGCTCTCTCCCACTCACCTTTCCTGTCGCCCAGCTGTCTAGCACACCTCTCCTGAGGTTCACAATGCGTTGCTGTTTCTAGGTATATGATTCTGCTTACACACATCCCCAGAGGCATACACGTTTGACGGATAGCATAGAATGCTATAGACTATTTCTCTGGGATTTTTCCCCATTTTTTCCTTCCATGTGGAACTCATCGATTTTAAAGCATTACAAATACACCCTTGTTCTTTGTGTCTTTTGCGACTATCTGAGAAAGAAAAACAAAAAACTGCTCCCAGAAAGCAAAACTTTAACACCTTTGATGCTGGAAGTGCAGAGGTCAGAGTCACACACCAGCGCGTGTGCAGCTCACGTTGGGGTGGGGGCTTCTTGCTGTTTCACTTGCCTTTCAGAACTAGCGTTGGTTTCTGTGACATAGAAAGCCTTAAGGTTTCGATCAGCTATTTATCAGCAATAGCACACAAGATGCTAATAATCATTTTAATCTGCATGCACAGTTATGATGCAAGAAGTGAATGTGTTGTGTCTTGACCTCAGATATTTATGCAGCCCCCATGGGGGGCTTAGAAGGAAAAACATGAGGTGTCCATGTGATGTCCAAGTCTACCCCAAGCAGGGTGAATCTGGGAAGAATCCCAGTTCTATGATACACTGGCTTTAATTAACAAGGTTACTTTGTCTATATAATGTGTGTGATTTTGAGAGCAAAATACTTATGGAGAGAAGGAAAATATTTTGGGAGCATTCAGTGTGTGGTTTGTTGGTTAGATGTTGACAAAAGAGGAAGGAACCCAAGATGAAGATCAAAATGGGAATAGAGATTAGAGTTCACAAAGTAAACTCACAGGAGAACTGTATATAGATTTTTTGCTGTTTTGATTACACAAGCAGTACACATGGTAGCAAGTTAGAAGATAAATAATAACACATTTAAAAATTAAAACATATTTCAACCAATAACAAACACAATTGTTTGTGAAATATGTATGTGCAGATCTCGTGTGTGTGTGTGTTAGATATAATCATACAGCAATTGTTTTTTTTTTCAGTCAATAATTACTACCTTCTATGGTAGGTTATTTTTAATTTTCATTCCATGAAACACACAGCTCAAATTCAGGTTTTTAAATGACCACCAAATATCCTTTTTTATTTTTAGGTTTTTAAAAATAATTTTATTGCGAAACAAATAGCAATGAGACAGTTTCAAAACCGATTAGTAGGACAGTTTCAATAATTAATACATTGCATAATGTTGTCTTCTTAGTGGTTATTCATAGTACAAGATACAGACATGATATCCTGTCCACAAACATTATTAGAACAAGTCTTTCTATTCATTGACTAAGAGAAAGTTGCTGTATATCTATCCTAACTATTTTGAATACACAGATACAAAACGGTCCTTCATTTGTATCCCCTTTTTTGGTTAAGTTTTGTCAGAGAAGGGTATTTCATTGTCATTTAAATATGGTAGATGCGTGAATTCAGCAAAATATTCCAATATAATCCAGTAGTCCATAATAGTAGTGGGTCTTCTGTAGGACTGGCAATGTCAGGAGTTGTTGACTTGAGCCTTTTATAGCTCAGTGTATTAATATGGTTTTACTTTTTATATCTCATTTTTATACTTTTCTGCTGGATGGTTAAGACCAAGATAAAGCAAGACCTATATGACAAGAAATGTAAAAAAAATATACGGAACGTTTTACAAATTTGCGTGTCATCCTTGTGCAGGGGCCATGCTAATCTCTGTATCGTTCTAACTTTAGTATATGTGCTGCTGAAGCGAGCACCAAATATCCTTTATAGGACTTAATCCATGACCCTTCTGGCCTTACTTCTGTCTCTGATGTCTTAATTGAAGCCTAGCACAGACTATAAGAGACTGACCAGAGAAACTGAGTCATCCTGGAGTATGTCCACCTCTGTGGGCACTTGGCTATTCCCTCAACGAGTTCTTTAGCCTACTCATCTCCCTCCCACATCTCTTCTAAGTTGAAGTCTGGAAGGCTTGGAATGGGCAACAAGAAGTAGTTAAGGCTTTTGCGAAACTAAGGAGTGATGGCTGCTACAAGAAATGATATGCAAGGGCTGGAGAGATGGCTCAGGGTAGAGTGATTGCCTAGCACATGTGAAGCACTGGGTTCAATCGTCACTACTGAGAAAGGCAAAACAAGAGCCTGCACAAGGATGACTCACACTGGGAATGACAAGAAAGAGGGGGAAAAGGACACAGTGAAGAGACGGTGGTGGTTGGAGCTGAAAGATACTGTTATCGTGCGGAAGGGATCCTTTTGGAATTCCCAAGAAATCACTGGGACATTTTACTTGGGAAATGAGTTCCAGCATGAGAAAGTAAAGACTAAGAATCTCTACAACTTGAGCATAAGTATGAATATGATTTCAATCATATCCATAGGCTGGTGACATTTGGATCACACTGGAAAGTTGTCTAAAGACATGCAACTACATAGGAAAGCATGCACATGGCTTAGAAAACCACACAGCTCAGGGATAGACATGTAGGGTAAGGAGTAAAATCTCCCTTTTTCTCATTCCTTGTCCTCCCTCTTTTACTGCTAATAGTTTCTGCTTCAGATTCTTTTTTTACAAATGCTGATATTGGGGCTAGGGAGATGGCTCAGTAGAATAAGCGCTTGCCTGGCAAGCACAAAGGCCTGAGTTCAATCCCC